GGCCGTGGCCATCTCCTGTCCTGTGCAAACTGACTGACTGACTGACTGACCTGACCTTGAAGTTGGTTGTGCATTGACGGGTTTTCCGCACTATTATGGACGTTTAACCCTTGTGATACGGTTCTCGCGACGACATGGATGAAGGGGATCCTTATTTCACCGTACAAGACGAGGTTTTGAAGAATTTGGAGAATGTTTCCGCCCTATACGACCAATGGCTCCGTTCAGACTCCTCCACAGATCCCCAAAAGCTAGTGACCAATATTAAACAAGTTGTACGGAATATTGAATGGGATCTCGAAGATATTCAGGTATTTCATGATTTTCCATTGTACTTCATATGAGATTATTATCAGATAGCGGAATAAAAAATGTTATTTCGCTGGCTGTACTATTGTCTACAAGCTCCTCTTACTCTTACTAGTAAAATTATATCTTTATTTGGTATTATGAACATCTTCAGGAATCTTTCAGACAACGCAGCACGTCTTTTTAAAGCTCTGTTTTTTTAGGTTAAGGAAAGATAGTCTGTTTTTCAATCAGACGATCTATTCGCTGACGAACAAGCTACATGACCCTACAAAAACGTCGATGTAGCTATTATGTAGCTGATTGTAGCCAGTTATTCGCTAGCTACAATGAGCTAAATTCTGTATTCCCAGTTCTCGTTTTTTCACCTTCCCATTATGCAACACACCATAGATCTCATTTTGCCACTCACTAAGTGCCTTACCGTGACTTATGTTTACTTGGTAAATAAAAGGCGTAGGTTTAGGAAATAATGTTTATTGAAATACAAGTCATTAAAAGTTTACATGACACACTGGTGTCTTCACGATGTTTCCTGAGCGAAAGTCTGTCCGCGATATTCTTCAGCCATCGTTTGATTTCGACTTCCACTGCGTGGCTTGTCATTCCGGGGAATTTATCAAAGCTCATGACAGCATCTTTAGAAATGAACATTAATTAGAACATTGTTTTTACCGAAAATACCCTGAATGCATTTAAGTGCGGATGCTCTTTACTTTGCGCTTTCCCCCGTGTAATTGACCTCCACAGCCAGATTCTCGTGAAAGATGAGAGTCTTTGCACGTTTAATGGCGTGCGTGAGGTCTTTGCCACCCTGGTGAAAGAATTGTTGCACTTGGGTAAACAAAATATAATCGAAATGCAATACTTATGTAGTGGAAAAGATACTGTATATATGAATGATAATGAAATAAACGGTACAAGGAACGGCCTCAGAAGGATTGTCCGCTGGTCGATTGATCCTGTTCTTGTGATGTGTGGTTCCGGTCGATGAGGTGTAGAGGAGCTGAAATGGATGACTGCGACAGTTAACGGACCGCTTGGCGATAACTGATAATGCTTGCTTAATTCCTCAGTAACACTCGGAGAACACGTGCGTATTTACGAACAGAATTTTGTATTGTGAATTAGGTACTGCGCATATTAAAACAAGCTGTACAATCAGGTCAGATAAAGTGGATGGAAAAGTAAGACACTACACTTACCAAATTGTCGTAGGTGGATTTTTCTTGCAGTTTCGTTTCAAGATCGCTCAGTTCTTGAACCGTTCTGCATTGGCTTCGGATTACAGGATCAAACTTTTTGACGTTAGGCGTTTTTGTAGACAAAATCTGGTCTATTTTTCTATGCAGTGTGTCCATGCTGAAGAATAACTGCGTCATCTTAACCTGAACATCACGCAAATAATCTATCAATTTATCTTGAAATTGTCTTGAATTTAAAACAAAAGATGAAAAAAGTCACTTCTAGAAAATGGCTTTTATGCGAGTGGTGAAAAGTAACTAAGTTCATTAAACGTAAGTATTAAAATTAACATTTAACAGTACAATGGCATCTAACAACAAATGTAGCTAATGTAGCTTCTATATAGTTCATTGTAGCTAACCGATGAGCTACACTGTGCTACTTGGGTTGGGATGAAGTCCTGCAGGATTAAATTAAACTTAAGATGTTAATATAACCGTTGTTATTGAATAGGAATCGAGAGTTGTTTTTAAGCACTAAAATCGACATGATTATGGGATCTCTGGGGATATGCCTAAGGTTGGAATCTGTTGATATACTTATCGCACTAGAGCTCCTGTGTGCGGCAGGAACTATGGAGAAGGTGGGGATTGGATTCAAAGTCTTGGGCAGGTCGTAGGTGAAGCAAATAGTGAGCGTAAGTACACACCCCTGTGGACTACTGACACTCACGGTAAAGGATTGAGATTAGATTTCGATTGGGACGGAGGTGATCCGCTTATTAAAGATGAAAAGTCAACGACTGAGTCTCCACTGTTGGGAGTGGTAAACATCATAGAAGTGGGATCTGGTGACTCTGGCTTTCACCCATTCTACCACCCAATGCGTAATGAGAAAAGAAGTAATGATTGGAGGGAAGTTCGCAACAGTAAAAGTAAAGATGTAGCACTCTAGAGGTGGTAATCGATTGATTTTAAAAAAGTGGAGAAACCAGCTTGGGCGAAAAAGTGGAATAATAACTGTATCTGTGGAACTAGTGGTTGGTGGTGTCTAATGATGGGGCTTTCAGTTTTCAGTCCTGCCCAATCCTCTAAGAACAAATTATGGCTCTTGCTAGCAAAGCATCCAAATTATTTTGTTGTCGGTGGGTGCACTTGTCTCCCAACATTGCGTATATTTGCACCGGCTTGTAGATAAGCATGGTGCTAGCGCCACAACAATAATAACAATGGGGTGCGTGGATTGGAATACAGAGAAAAGTGAGGTGGAACAGTTAAAATAGAAAATGGTAGGTAACTGGGATATCAAACTTTTTTGTGTTCCACCGTACATCTTTCGATATTTTTGTGTGTCGTTTTTTACGGGGCACGGGATTTCGACCGACGGACCGTACAGCATTCGCGCCACTGACTTCTATTCAGGGCCATATCTCTCAGCGCCTTCAACCAACGACAGTCATCATCCCTTAGGCCCCAACCTGGAAGGCGGTCTGCACCAACCGAAGTCAAAGCTGAAGCTCTGTTCATCTACGCCATGTCATGGTTTGACCATCACGGAAAGATAGTCGATGGGCAGACATACGCAATACATGACCAGGCCATCGGAGGTGGTGTAGAGCGATTACTTGTTAGAGAACGACTATCCGCACCCAACTCACGACGATGAACCTCATTACTCACCTGGTGTTCCCACCAGACACGTGCAATGCTTCGGAGACATCGGTGGGGGAATACAGCAAGTCGATTAGCATCCTCAACGCGGAGGGGCCAGGTCTCGCAACCGTAAAGTAGAACGCAACGAACCGCGGCGATGAACACCCTTCCTTTAAGGGACAGTTGGATGCCATGGTGTCGCCATAGGTGTCGCATGTTGGCGAAAGTTGCTCTAACTTTCGCTATTCGTGATGTGATCTCCCCAACATCAACACCGGCTGCGATCGAGCTCCCGAGGTACTTAAAA